AGCACCCTACCACACCCCAAAACCCCAAAACCCCAAAACCCCAAAACCCCAGTCTCTTGGTGGTGAATTGAGGGATAATAAATTTAATAATAATAAATGGAAAAACATTCCCTACCTGTAGAGGAAAAGAAAGCCGAAATAGCAAGGTAAATTTAAGTTAGAATACAACAGTTAACAATAGAAGCACTATTTGCTTAATTAATTAATTCATGGAGTTTCTGCCATATTTATACTTTTGATACATAAAATTTGAAAGAATTTCCGTTATACTTGATGAATCTTGGGATGGATGTAAATTAAATTAGAACCTGAAGATGCTAAGCTATTAAGTTATTGTATTATTGTTCTATACTCTTGCCAATCAGTCTCGTTATCATTAAAATACATCCCTTAACGAAATTTTATCAATTGAAATATTTGATAATTGTTGCTTTCCATTAGAGTAAAGATACTCTAAGCACCTGATTAGCATTGGACCTCTTCTATAATCCCAGAGTCTGAATTATTCACAAAAAAAGACGAGACTTAGGTTTCTGATTTATTCATGCAAACTAGCAAGGATTGCTAGCATAACTTTAAGATTACTGATAACTTCTAAAGCTTATTTACTTCATCTTTTTCTCTCTAATTTTGTAGTCTAGAGGAGTCCATACTATCAAAGAGTAAAGAACTAAATTATAAGAGATGCTGCAATGCTTATTACAATATTTTTGCTGCTGAAATCGGAGTTGAACAGCTGGGATCATGCACTCAGAAGAAGTTTTTTAAATTTTTATTCGAAAATAAGAGGTTTATAAAATTAGCACAAAAGCTAGGACCTTCAAAGTTCTTTAATTTGAATTCTCTCATGATTCGTTGTGTTCAAGAGAAAAATAGAGAAATTATTAATTTCATAGATTTCTTGTTCCCGAATAAAGTTAATACTCTTTGGGTTTACTCTTCGCTCCAAGTGAAGCGAAGTACTCCCAGATATATAAATTCAATTATTAGATTAAGTTCGAGAGTGACCCAAAGTGTAATTTTGGATCGTTTTTGATTGAACTCTAACCAATTTAAGAGACTGATTACATCTTTCAGGCATGTGAAAGGATTGGCTTTTAACTTTAAAACAATATCTATTCAAAAAGTTCCTAACTTCTCGAGAGCACTTAAAAACTCCAAGATTCAGGAATTAACTTTATGGAGATCAGGAATAGCCTTAGCTGGTAACTGAGATGAAAATATCGGAGGGATGATAAACTTGATAAAAGGTCTGGCAAGTTGTTCAGATTTAAAATCAAGCCTCAAAAAGATAACTATCAGATGTCATGAAAGAGATAAAAATGAAGTGATAAATATTTTTAAGGGAAATCAATTTGAAAGACTTCAGATAATTTTTGGATCATAAATTTCAATTAAAATTTAGTTTCAGGTGCTTTAAAATAGAGATTCTTGCTTCATCTTGGGTATATTATTGTCTTATAATTTCTGTGTACTCCTAATGACTTTAATTATAGTTATCAAAACTCGTTTGTTCTACAGAAATTATTATTAGATTTGCATAAAGCAATATATGCCTTATTTTCACACACTTAAACCTATTCGAACAAAAGGAGCTGGGCATAGCTAGTGATACTTATTTTGTATGCCAAATCTCTCAAACTAAATTTCTATCCTAATGAGGAGCGTAAATTTTCTCTGAGTCTTTAAAATAACACCTTAATAACTCCAATCAGATTTAATCTCCAAAACAAATATATTAATCCCCCTCTCCTTCCCACGGGGTTTTGGGGTTTTGGGGTTTTGGGG